GTTGTTCAGTCTGATCCTATGCTTGTAAAAATGCTTTGTTGACCTCCGACTCTATGGAGAAATAGCTCAACAAAGCCTGTTGGAGACCCCTGCCTTGCCATAGTCATCTCTGGGATGGGGTTGTGTCGCTCTGGTCTGCGGGGACCACCCCTTGTCAGATGTGGTTAAAACACAGCCTGGCTCCTGCTGCTCCTGGGATTTGATTCAATGGGGATGACCGTCCTGTGGCCCCAGATGGCTCCTGGGCAGGTGCCACAACCTCTTATGTAACTGGCAGTACTACTGCCCCTTCCAGTGAGAGCAGTGATGATTCTGTAATTAGATTTTAATGTTGGCTTCATATTGTTCAGAGGTGAGACTCCACCCTGGTCTCCCACATGGGTAGCAGAGGCCCAAGCACTTGGGCCATCTTCTGCTGCTTTTCCCAGGCCATTAGCGAGAGTCTGGATCGGAAGTGGGGCAGCTGGAACAGGAACCGTATGGGTGCCCATAGAGGATGTGTGTGTCAGAGGTGGTGGCTTTCCCCTCTACCCCTCCCTTCCTGAGGCCTGAGTTTAGGGAACAGGGTGGGCTGGGCTCCACTGCCCCTTCTGCTCTCTTCATTTGTGCAGCTTTGGACCCTGCTGGACAGGATGGGACAGGAAATGGCCAACCTGGATGGGGCTTTTCATGACCTCTGACCTGGCAGATATAGGAAGCTGAATCTTTCTCTTGTGGACACTTGGGCATCCTCTCTGGAGATTCTCAGCCCTGCACTCCCTCTCCGGCCATTCCTGTGCCTTGGGTGCACGTGCCCCAGCCAAGGGCCTTCCCCACAGCTCCTGGGCACTGGGAGTAGCCCCACCAAGCTCTCCAGATCTCTCCAGGAAGACTTGAAACCTGGAGTCCCTAAGGACACTCCTGGTGCAGAGACTCCATACGCTGAAGGCTGGAGAGCATGGAGGGGGCATGTGGCTGCCCCTGCTGCCCGGCAGGCACACTGTCTCCCCAGGGAGCTCTTCTCCAGTCTGGTCCCCTTTCTACATTCCTGCCTTTAGTACTTTTGACCAGGTGAGAATTCCAAGACACAGGGAGCAATTTCTTGAAGATCCTCTTTGAAGTCCTGATGTGGGAGTTCTATCTCAGGCTTATTTTGGTAGTTGCTGTTTATTATATTGGCACCTAAGCTATAACCAAGGCAGAAAGAGTTCTGGTTTATAACTTTGCAAATCAGGAAAATAACACACACCCAAAGGAGTACAAGTGTGCAGCTGGGACACTACCAATGCCCCAGAAATCCTTCACCCAACTTCTCAGTCCCTTCCCTGCCTCAAAAGTGACTTCCTCTGTATCCAGCCTTATCTAACACTACTGATTGGCACTGCCTGGTTTTCTGCATTAAATTCTGTTGAACCAGATGGAATTGCCAATATTTTGCAATCACTTCTGTCCTTCGTATGGCAATCTCATTAGGTTCATCCTATTAGAAACAAGGTGAACTTCATCTGTCTTTTGCTCAACATTGTGTCTGCGAAGGTCGCTCATACTGTTATATAGTAATGTTTTTTTTTTTTACCTTGCATTTATTTTTGCTCTGTTTTCCCATTGTGTCGCAAAAGCGTAAGAAGCCAGCAGGGGTCTAGGAGGAGCACGGTTCCGTTTGTTACCTTAGATTTGCGGAGGTCTAGCTTTTGGATGTACTGCTGGCTTTCCAAGGTGGTTGTGCCAATGCACTCACCCACCCTTAATGCCTGGGATATAGACTTTATCAGGCTCCAGTCTCTGTTCCTTAGCTTGCCTTCCCTCTGTAAGGAGAAACACATTCAACTAAAGGAGTGACACAGTGGTCAAGTCAGAGACAAGAGCCAATCACCAAGGCTCAGGATTCCTCCTGTAGTTGACAGGTCAATGCCAGTCTTTGCAGAAACTCACAGACCCTGATTAAACAGAGCAACACCCACTCTACCAGTAGACCCTGGGCAGACTGGAGCCCACCTCTGCTGGTCCCTCCCTGACAAACCAATCAAAGGAAGGCTACACACACTCCACAGTGTCCAACCAGAGACCCACACATGAGCTGATCACACACTGCTCCTTGCCAACTTTGGTTATAATATTCACTGGTTCTCCTCGTTCAAGGATTCTGGAAATGGGCATTTGCTGCCTGGCTCCTTGCCCGCCCTGCACATTGCAAGTAACTGCCTGCTTTCTTCTACCACCGCCGTGTCAGTGATTGCCTTGCTGTGCTCAGCAAGTGGACTGTTTCGGGTGAGTTCTTCTATAGCAATACCATGTACCAGCAACAGCAGAGGAAAAAAGAACATTTAAGAATGATACCATTTGCCTGGCATTGTGGTGTAACATGTTAAACTACTGCCTTTGACTCAGGCATCCCTATGGGTACTAGTTCAAGTCCCGGCTGTTCCACTTCCCATCCAGCTCTCTGCTAATGGCCAGGGAAAAGAAGTGGAAGATGGCTCAAGTGCTTGGGCCCCTGCACCCATGTGGGAGATCCAGAAGAACTCATGGTTCCTAGCTTCAGGCTGGCCCGGCACTGGCTGCTGTGGCCATTTGGGGAATGAACCAAGAGGATGGAAGCTCTCCCTCCCTGTCTCTCTCTCGCTCTCTGTAACTCTGACTTTCAAAATAAATAGGCAAATATTAAAAAGATACCATTTATGACAATATCACAAAGCATCAAATACTTAGGAGTGAATCTTTTTTTTTTTTTTTTTTTGACAGGCAGAGTTAGTGAGAGAGAGAGGGAGAGAGACAGAGAGAACGGTCTTCCTTCTGTTGGTTCACCCCCCAAATGGCCGCTACGGCTGGCGTGCTGCGCTGATCCGAAGCCAGGAGCCAGGTGCTTTCTCCTGGTCTCCTATGCGGGTGCAGGGCCCAAGCACTTGGTCCATACTCCACTGTCTTCTCGGACCACAGCAGAGAGCTGGATTGGAAGAGGAGCAACCGGGACAGAATCTGGTGCCCCAACCGGGACTAGAACCTGGGGTGCTGGCGCCACAGGCGGAGGATTAGCCTAGTGAGCCACGGCGCTGGCCGGGAGTGAATCTAACATAGGATACATATGCTACTTCTTGAAAAGCTAGACATGTTAACTAAAAGTTACAAATATCCATTTACTTGTATTATGTTCATACTGGAAAATCCAATAATGTAACAATGTCATTTCTCTTTAAACCCATCTGGCCTCCAGAGCTTCCTACTCCAATAGACTTCTCTCTAGAAATTGTTGACTACCCAAGTACATGGTGGGACAATCCAGTCTGGCATTTCTTTTTTTTTTTAAAGGTTTATTTATTCATTTGAAAGTCAGAGTTATGGATAGGGAGACACACACACACACACACACACACACACGTTGGGGGAGAGGAGAGAGAGAGATCTTTCATTTGTTGGTTTACTCCCCAGATAGCCACAATGGCCAGGGCTGGACCAGGACAAAGCTAGGAGCTTCATCAGGGCTTCCTACATGGGTAGCAAGGCCCCAAACCCTTGGGCCATCTCTGCTCTTTTTCCAAGAGCAATCGCAGGAAGCTGGATGGAACGGGGCAGCTGGGACATGAGCTGAAGCCCCCATGGGATGCTGGTGCGCAGATGATGCTTTGCCCACTACGCCACAGTGCTGGCCCCTTGTCTGTAGTTTTATCTCTGGACGCATCTGCCCAATGTGGGTGTCAGCCAATCTGACCAGGATTTTGTTGGGCAGTATACATCTTGTCCTTGAAGCTATTAGTGTTCAAGTGACTGAACTACCTTAGTTTATTGTTTAGTGACTTCCTTAAATTAAAATTTCTCTTCCTGATACTAATGATGGTGTAATAATGGTCTTATGCTAATGACTGTGATATGGGCTAGGTAAGGAGTTAGCAAACAAAGGAGCTGAGAGGTTTCCAACAGTCTCTGTTCCTCAGCCCTGCTAAAATAATAAAAAACAAAACCCAATAAACTCCACCCTTGTCCATGGCAGTTCAACACCCCACCTTCCCATGATGCACCTGAGCCTCCCCATCATACAGAAGACACCATGGTGAACACGTGTGTGCTGAGCTCCACGTGGAGATGCCACAGAACCTTCCCAGGGATCGTCAGGTGCCCTGGGTCCTGCCCCATCCTCTACCCCATCTGTATATTCAGTTAGGGCACCACCTCCTCCCCAATAAAGGGAGTGGCTGAACTCAGGGGGCAGGGTTCTCCCTCATGAGGTGGTCCACATTCACTTCTGAGTGTGTACCACCTCTTCCATTTCTTTATATTAACCTGCTCCCATTCTTGTATCTTTCTGTCTCTCTGCTTCGGATTCATCTCTTATGCTAAGACAAGAACCTAGAATAAAATCCAGTACTCCACAACGGTAGGAAATTCACACTTTTCATCTTAGGTTCAGATCTTAGCAGCCAGGTGAGGAGCTGCTATTGTAGTTTTTTGTTAGGAGGACCTGAGGGGCACCTAAACCAGCTGGCTCCAAATCACCCCAGCAGGCCACTTCCCCAGTTCAGGCTTTTGGACACACACTTCTCTGTGTTTTAAGCCCCTTTCTATAGCTTTGTTTCCTGGTCAGGGTAGAATAGTAGGATTGGCCCAAACACGAGAAGTTTCCCAAGTTGGGCCATTTTCCTGGAGGCAAGCTTCCAGGCAGAAGTTCCGGAGGCAAATGGCCTCAGCTACTTTCTCACAGCACAGCTGCTCCTGCAACCCCAGAGAGAGCGAGCCCTGGACCATATCTGTCAGTTATAATTCACTTTATCCTCTGGGGAAACTATTTGCCCATCCTTGAGGTCTTGTATGCTATGTGTAAAAGGTAATTCAGTGGTTCTAGGGGTGGAGCAGCATCATTTAAAAAAATTTCATTTATCAAAGTCATCTGTAGTTTATTCTCTTGTAAGGGGCTAAAAATCCCACCCGATTTTCAAAGATAGTAGCATATTTTATGTTCAATGCTTTAGTCCGTTTCATTTAGAGGAGAGAATCACAGATAGGTTACCTGTCTGTCTCTGACTACTTACAGTTGGTGTTAGAGGCAGGAAGCTGGGGTGCAGGTTACAGTTGTGCTGAAACAGGCTATCTGCGAGGCTCGCAGTCAGGCTATTTGAGTACTGTGCGTCACTGTCGACTGGCAACTTGCAGCCCCAATCACCTTTGGCCCTGCCCTCGGTGGGTGTGGCCACATCTTGGCAAAGGCAGGGCTCATGTATTGCTGCAGTTTGCTTATCCAAGAACCTATGTCCTGGAATCACCCTTTCAGGGATCTGATGAATGGGTTTACTTTTGATAGCACTGCCTACACCTGGGTACAAACCAGCCTTGGATTTTCAGCCTTCGGTGACAAGTGCACACAGGCCGAATTCATTTCCCAGTGTGGGAGGAAATGACTCAAGCTCCCGTCCGTGAAAATCTGGCCACAGTGAGAGGACAGTGCACTCTGCAGAGCCTGTGAGGGTTGAGGGGACTCACTGAGGCTGGCTACTAAGCATTTGCTTCTGGCAACATGATGCAGTTACTGAAAAGCAGGAAGTGCTGCAGGAGGTGGTGAGAGGCTCACCTAGAAAGATGGAGGAGGGCCCAAAGGACTTTACCCTCAGAAATAAAAGAAAGACTGAAGATTTCCATACCATACTGGAGACTACCCCTGCATATTCATTCATTTCACGGTTACTGATCTGTGTTAGGCTCAGAGAAAACGATGAAATGAAGCTTTGTAAAATCTCTGTATGGTTTATGGAGTCTTGGCACCTGTGTGTCTTGTGACTTTTCTTTTTATACAAGTCTTAAAACCAATGGGCCTGGGCCGGCGCCGCGGCTCACTAGGCTAATCCTCCGCCTTGCGGCGCCGGCACACCGGGTTCTAGTCCCGGTTGGGGCGCCAGATTCTGTCCCGGTTGCCCCTCTTCCAGGCCAGCTCTCTGCTGTGGCCAGGGAGTGCAGTGGAGGATGGCCCAGGTGCTTGGGCCCTGCACCCCATGGGAGACCAGGATAAGTACCTGGCTCCTGCCATCGGATCAGCGCGGTGCTCCGGCCGCAGCGCGCCGGCATCGGCGGCCATTGGAGGATGAACCAACAGCAAAGGAAGACCTTTCTCTCTCTCTCTCTCTCTCTCTCTCTCTCTCACTGTCCACTCTGCCTGTCCAAAACAAACAAACAAAAAAAACAATGGGCCTGTAACCAGTCTCAGGAGCAGGTGGAAGCGAGGAGCTGGACCATGTGCAGTTATGAGCAGAGAAACCAGTAGGAAGTTCAAGTGCGGGGCAAAGACCGTGATGTAGAGGCAAGTGTGCTCTCCTTGTTTCTCCTCCCTCACGTGTTCTCGCCATTCACAAGCAGGGTTACTGCCCCACAAGTCTTCAAAGCAGGGTTGTTAGTCCTTTTTTTTTTTTTTTTTTTTTTGCTGTAACAAAACACTTGGGATCAGGTAATTTACAAAGAAAAGAAATTCAGTTAGCTTGCTGTTCTAGAGGTCAGGAAGTCTGATGGCATGGTGCCAGGCAGGTGGGGTCATCTTGCTGCACCTGCATGTCCAGGTGAGACAGAGCAAGCTGCCAGCTGAGGTCTCTCCTCGTCTTCTGATGACCCCACTAATGCCATCCTGAGGGCTCCAAACTCATGGCCTCATCCATATTACCTCCCAAGGTCCCCACCCCCAAACACCAGAACCATGAATTTGCGGGGTAAGTATATGAACCTTTGGGGAGCACATTGAAATCAGAGCAGCAGGGGCCAGCAAACTTCCCTTGAACAGGATCAAATGGTGCCTGTTTTAGGATTTGCTAATCCTTTGCTAACAGTAGTAAAATCCTAGCCAGAGCCAATGCCAGACAGTGGGGTGTGATCCACCCTCTCTGGCATCCAGAATTGAGAGGAAACTCTGGAACTTCTCCCAACTGTACCCTGGGCTCCTTTGCTGTCACTGTCCCTCATCATGTCACTTTTTTTTTCTTTTTGTGCTTTTTATAAAAGATATAAATTCAAATACCACAAATTTAGTCATTTAAATTGCATAGTGCAAGGAGTTTCATTATATGCACACAGTTGTGCCACATCAATTATTGGACATTTTCTTCATCCCACAAAAAAGATCCCATGTCTTTTAGATGCCATCCCCCAGTCTTCCTATCCCACAGGTGCAGGCAAACATGAGTCTATTTCCTGTCTGTGGCTTGACCTATTCTGGGCATTTCATATAAATGCCAATTGTGAATGACTTTTTCATAAACATTATCAATCTTATAATTTAAATTTCATAATCTTTTGAAAGTTAATCTGTGTTGTTGTATGTATTAGTTCTTCATTCCTCTCTGTGGTTAAATAATACTAATTTGTATGACTATATCACATTTTCTTTATTTCTTTATTTGATGGACAGTCAAGTTGTTTCCTCCTTTTGAGTAACTCATGTTCAAGTTTTGTATGTGTCTGTGTGTGTGGAGAGATCTTGGATGTTTGTTGAGTGTGTGCTTAGGAATGGGATGCTGGGTCAAATGGTAACTCTGTTTAACTTTTTGAGGAGCTGTCAGACTATTTTTCCCAAGTGGGTGCACGTTTTACATTCCCACCAGCAGTCTGCATGGGTTTAGACTTCTCCACATTCTTACCGACACTTGTACTATCTTTTTCCTTATAGCCATCCTAGTGAGCATGAAGTGGCATCTCGTAATAATTTTGATTTGCATTTCCGTAATCACGCATGCTCTTGAGCATCGTTTCAAATGCTGATTGGCCATTTGTATATCTTCTTTGGAGAAGTGCCTGTTCAATGTTTTGCCTATTTCTAAAAATTCAGGTTGCCATTCTTTTGAAAAAAATTTAAGATTTATTTTATTTGACAGGCAAAGTGGGGGGGGGGGGAGAGAGAGAGAGAGCGAGAGATTTCTCTGGTTCATTCCCCAAATGCCTTGGACCTGGAACACAATCCAAGTCTCCCGCATGAGTGGCAGAGACCCAACTACTTGAGCCATCCCCTGCTACCTTCTGGGTTCACGTTAGCAGGAGACTGGAGCTGGGAGCTGGAGCCATGACTCAAACCCAGCATTCCAATATGGGATGTAGGTATTTTAATCACTGCACCAAATGTCCACCCCCCCATTGGATAATTATATAATTAGGAGCATGTTTCAGCAAGAGTGCTTCACCTGGAAAAAATTCTAAACACTTATAAGCAAGCAAAATTATATCACATAGCATGTAAACAGAAAAAAGTCATGACTAAACATTCAAGTAAGGTATTTAACAACAATAAAGCAATGATTTTAAAACATCCAAATTTCCTTTAAAAGAATTCAACACTAGAAGCTAAATTTATTTTCTGAGTGATTTACAAAATTAAGCCAATATTTTTTCTTCTGAAACATCAGGAAATGGACAAAGGCACATGTAGCTATGCATAAGATTTCAATCTCAATGGTTTTCTTTAAACTGAAATTTTGCAAAGTACCCAGTAAAGATGAATTATAAAACTGAATCTGCTCCTCTAACAACACTTGCCCATGCTTAGTACTTAGTGGTTTATTTGATCAAATTAACATCTTTTCAGGGGAAAAATAAATCAGTGTAAAACATCTAGTTTTAAAAATATGCTAGTCTTTTTCTTAGAAATACAAATTCTTGAGGAAAAGAATTATTTATCATGAGAAAAAATAAAACAAAACACCTAGAATGACCAAAGATTATCCTTTTTTTAAAAAAAGATTTTATTTATTCATTTGAGATATAGAGTTATAGACAGAGAGAGGGAGAGACAGAGAGAAAGGTCTTCCATCCAATGGTCCACTCCCCAAATGATCACAATGACTAGAGCTGGGCCTATCCAGAGTCAGGAGCCAGGAGCTTCATCTGTGTCTCCCACATGGGCACAGGGGCCCAAGTACTTTGGTCATCTTCTACTGCTTTCCCAGGGGCATTAGCCAGAGTTGGATTGGAAGTGGAGCAGCTGGGACTCGAACTGGTGCCATTATGGGATGCTGCTGTGGCAGCTTTACTTGCTACGCCACAGCTCTGGACCCCAAAGCTTTTCAAAGAAAAAACATCACAGAGGATATTTTGTATTGGTGCATTTTTCTTAACCCAACTAATTTATTTCATCAAATTCTCAAATGTCACCTGAGTCACTCTATAGCACTGCAATGTGGTCAGGCAATAGGTAGCGACATTGTTTGCAATGTGTTCAGAGTTAGCTTCTTGTTCAGCTCTTCTCCTTTGTGTCGCTGAATACCTTTCTATATTGCTTCCAGATTCATACTTCTGGCATCACCGATCTTAGATGTAGTTGATAGATGACACACTTTGGCTTGGAAATCGGTATAACACATGTTGGAGGAAATGGAAGCATTCATGGGACTTGAGGGAGTAATAGAGGGAGTTAGATGTAACCCAGAGGGAGGGTGAACAAAAGTTACAATTGTGACAGATGAGGAGCACATGTCAGTTGCAGAGGAAGTGGACTGGGGGTGGAGGCAACCTTGGACCTGGTGGTATGAGAATAGATGAACTGGTACTGTTGCAGCTGCTGCAGTAGCACTGGCTATGGGTGGGAGAGGACTGTACGAGAGGAGCTGCAGCTGAGTGGTGAAATCCACGGTGATGTGAAGAGCAATTGCAGTTACTGCAGGTGGATGTGCGGAGGATTTGGTGGGAGAGGAGCTGAAGTCATTAAAGCTGTCAACCAAGATGTAGACAGGGCGGAGGGAAACGGTGGAGGAGTTGTGGTGCTCGGAGCTCACCAACAGGTGCACTGCCTGTAGCTGGTGCCTGAGCACCATCTTCCATCAAACCTGTAGCAGATCTTACACAGGCGGGGATGGGTTTTGCATCTCCTGCCCCCTGCATAGGTTGAGGTGGAGGTGGCCCGGGAGGTCTGAGATTTCTTCAGCTCTAGTCAGAGCCTCATTCCTCTGGCTAAATAGCAAAGCAAGAAGGGACTAGGATCCATCCACAGGATTCACGTTCATCTGAGGTCTTGTTTCAGGACGAGAAGTTGAGCCGTTGACAACTTCAGGACGTTGTCTGCAGCCTGGGTGACCTGGTGTCGGCTTCTGCT